CGCTAGATAGTACTATCGCTGGCGGTGATCTGATAAATAGCATAACCTGGCGACCTATGCTAACTCTCGCATCAGACCATCTGCCCATAATTATCTTGATCGAGAAACTTCCCGACTCTATTTTTTAATTCCGCAAGGAGATCGTTTCATACTGGCTGAAGGAATTGCGGAACTCCAGCCGAATGATCCCCGAATAAGGGATCTAAATTTGGAGATTCAGCAAACGGTAACGGCATAAGCGGACAAAATTAATAGAGCATCTGAAGTCCTCTAATCTCTCCACCGGTGTGAGTAAGCTTTGGACTACTGTCAAGGCCTTGTCTAATGCGAGGAGGCATGACGACCGAGTTGAAATTCAATTCGATGGCCATGCTTCCTCGGACCCGGAGAAATGCGCGAGCTATTTTAGCCGGCAATTTACTGGAGAAACGGCTTGGAGAGGAGTTCGTTGTGTTCCTTAACCGGGCCTCACTATGTAGGTGTTCGATTGGAGACATCAAGAGGCATCTCGTGATAGTCCGGAGTGCAGTGTTTTGACAGGTCTGAAGCTTCTTCTTCTGCGTGTCACTGCATCCAGGCGACCATATTGTGGCTGCATAATTTAGGACCGGCCGGCCGATTGCATTGTATGTTGCCAACAACGTTTCTTTGTCTTTTCCCCAAGAGCTGCCGGCAAGCGACTTGAGGATTTTGTTGCGGCTCTGTACTTTGGCAGTTATCGCGGTCGTGTGAGGAGTGAAGTGCAAAGCATCGCAGACCTCGGTAGGTAGCATCGCAGACTTCGACTATGGAAGCTGCAACGACTTGCCTGGAAGTAATGCTGGAGCTAACACCGTTACATATAGTGATCGAGCAGAAGGCCAAACAGACCTTGCGACGGAGGGGATTGGTGCAGGGGTCGCAGGACCACGCACCAAGCTCTCCATTCCCATGGGATGTTTTCCTAGCATATTCCAGGCGGAAGTATATGCTATAAGTCAGTGTGTAGAGATAAACCTCCAACGCGACTATCGCAATAAGAGTATCGCCATACTCAGCGATAGTCAGGCGGCACTTAAAGCGATCTCGGCTTTTGAGGTCAAATCGCTACTAGTGCAGGAGTGTATAGAACGGCTAAACAGCCTATCAAGTCTCAATAGAGTGTACCTCATATGGGTGCCTGGTCACAGGGGTATAGCAGGAAATGAACTTGCTGACGAGCCACTCTGCAGCCTCCACAAAAATGGTAGGACCAGAACCGTACATAGCGGTTGGTCCACCCACCATTAAAGAGCTGCTCCGTAAAGAGGAAAGAGCAGCCAAGGAGAGACATTGGCAACATTTCCAAGGCATGCGCCATGCCAGGTTGCTGATGAGGGGTTATGACCTCAGACGGTTTAAACCCTAATCAATCTCCCGACAAATAAATTCCGGCTACTTGTCGAGTTCTGCACCGGACATTGCAGGCTTAAGAAGCATTTATTTAACATGGGCTTGGTCTCCTCTGCAAGCTGCCGGTTCTGCGACATGGAGTCGGAAACCCCAGAACACCTGCTAGTGGACTGCACAGCAGTCTGCAGACGTAGAGTTAAGGCCCTGGGATCCATGTTTCCAAACAGGGCTCGCTTCGCTTCACTAGCACTTAGCAGTATATTGGAGTTCATCAATATGCTGGGGCTAGATGAGTCGCTGTGACTTAGGGGAGGGCACAATAGACCATAGGTCGCGGTGCATACCTCAATCATTATCTATTCTATTCTATCTATTCTATTTATCCGTAAAGCTAATACTAACACTTCTTCTTCTGACTTTGTCTGGCATGACTTGGTTTTGCAGATTGTGGTTCACCTGTATGTTCTGATTCAATGCACTCGACCTTTCTTACCTAAGAAGCTGCTCATTTGTCGGAACTGCCGAAATCGAACCACTATAACCTTTTTATTTGACGAGATATCTTCACGAAATTTGGCATGGGCTACTGTTTGAGGCAATGACACATTCTCCAAAGAAATTTTTTTGATCCGACCACTATAGCATATATATAGCTGCCATACAAACTGACTATTAAAAATCAAGATAAAGATCGTTTTATACCCATTTATGCTATAAGAATGAACCTGTGAAGGGTATTATAGCTTTAACATTGTTTGTTGTTGTTGGTTATGTTTTTCATACAACATATTAAAAAATATTTGTAACAATTGCAATAAAACGAATTAAATAATATTACGAAATGGAGCGGCCGCATCGCACCACTCAATATTATGATTTTAAAGCCTTTTCAAAAAATTCAACCATTAGTGGATACACATCATCGTACTGTTCACTCTTTTTCCTTCGTACTTGATCGCGGTAACGTTGTAATGCCCCTGATATTAATTCTAACTTTTCACGGTCCGATGTATGCCCATCTAGCCATTCCATCAAACGTTCATTCGACCAATTCGCGGTGGTATGCGGACTCTGAAGTTCGGCATTGGCATGACCGAATAATAGAAACAACACAATATAGCTGGGCACCAGTGAATCATTACCCACACTTTGCTTCACCAGTTCTTGCGGAGGTTGTACAATTAAGAACGACATTGCACGTAGTAAGCGAGCAGAATTTCCTAAATCTGGCAAATTGGAGCAAATCGGATTAAGTGCTTGTTCCATGTGGTTGCAGTCATTGTTCAGACGGTGGCGTCCGGCATCGCTGATTGGACGTAAAATGCTCATATTGTGCACAAATAACTCTATGCAACGTTTTGCCAATTCATGCCCACATTTTGCCACCATCTCTTTATCTTCAAAAGGACCAATATGATTCATCCAGACGCGGCTAATGAATTCCTGTAATGCAACATATTACGCAATAGATAAAATATAAATATTCTGCATTATCGGCAATTTCAGAATGTTAAGTACCTGCAATTCCTTCATGTACATTGAAGGGCCGACAGTAGATATTTTTTCGGAACTAAGTCCTGGTTCACGATGCATGCTAAGCAGTATAATACTAATCGTTGACAAAATTGAATCCATTATCTGCTGTAATATAGTGCCCATTAATATATTTGACTGTTCCAAAGATTTTAATATTTCTTGCTGTGCAGAAGATTTCGATTTCGAAAATTGTACGTTCAAGTCGGATAACATTCGACGCACGGAGTCCTTATAGTAATACAAAATATTTGCTAATATCACATTCTGTGTTTGCTGAAAGTTTGGAATGTCTACTACTTGTTTGGAATCGGGGCCCAATTTGATTTGTGACTCTAATTTAGTGCATAACTCTTTGCCACAAGCTATAAAAACAGCTCCAACAGAATTTGTTAAGCGCGCATCTATTAGAGCAGCACTTAATTCTGTAGAAGCAATTCGTATAAATGAATCAACTGTTTCATTTGATGGTAAGTCGACACCAGAGAGGCAAGCTTTCATATTTGCGGCACACTTGCTTATATAGCCCACTTCTAATGAAGAGAACATGTCATTATCGAAAAGAAATTCACCATTCAAACGCTGCTCGAAGCCGCGGACTGAAGTCAATAATTTTGCTAAGCCTTCTTGCAAGGTTTGTGTAACATGAACCGGACTTTCGGTAAAGGATTTGCGAAATAACTCTTGCACGGCTAACCAAAATTGGTTATGAACATTATATATTTCTGCTGCATCAAAGCCAAATTGTCTTATTTGATCCAAAGCGCGTTTTAACAAATTTACTTGTTCGCAACTTTCATAAAGCTCTTCATATAATAACCAGTGTAGTGATTTCCAAAACTTTGCTCTGAAATTTTGAGTCGTGGTCAACATAGGTGTTTTTCCAGGACCACGAATTGTACCACTAGGTTTGGGGGAAACGTTGCTACCACTTTTGTTCAATACGGTAATATCGGTGCCAGCAAAACATTCTCTTAGTGATTGCTCTAAGTCCGATATGAACGTTGTTACTAAGTTATCCAACGACTTTTGTAGCAAGTTGAAGTTTTTAACTATCTAAGAAAAAGTGGAAAGTTGATTAAACACTTTATGCACTGTGCGTACTAATTCACATAATTTGAGTTATTACCTTTAGAGCATTGGTTACTAAAGCTTCATTCCTTTCCTGCAGACCGGTTACAAGTTGCATTTGTGTTAGGTTCCTTAACTTTTGTCGAGAGGTTATAACTTCAGCTCGAGCATTTTGAACGAAATCTATTTTTTTCAAATCTTCGTCATCAACCAATTGTCCTAATTCATAATGAAGCTCTGCTTGTTTAAGAACATCTTTCGTCGAACGTAGTTTCGCTGTCAATGTAAGTAATGTTCCGGCCGAACGTAATAGGTGTGACAACTCATGCAATCGCCCCAAAATACACGTTTGATTATCGACCTGTTGGTACTGGGTATCAATTTGAGTTTTCAACTTTTGTCCAGTTCCTCGAATTTGTTCCACATCGTTAGCTAAAGTATTGAGGGCCACATCGAAGCGCCCAGCATGTGTTGCCTGCTGAAGTAAAGCATCATGTTTTTCACGCACTTGGTGATGGAGATCATCATTGACATTTTGCAAACGTCTTGTAAGTTCCTGAATTTGCTCCTGAATTGTCGTGTTGGCATCTATATTCGTGATAGATTCGTCATCTAATTCCAAATTAGACCTAAGGACGATAAATAATTAAGCTCACTATGATGTTATACTTTGCGTTAAAACAAGCGGTTACATTTGAGCTTTAATTTGATACAAGTATGAAGTAAACAAATATCACAGATATCCTGTAAATTTGGTTTGCAAAGAAAAACAGAATAAAATACGCGACAAAATGTAAATAACGTTGTTAAATGATTTCGTTACCAGATGTTGTCCATTTTTTTATTTAATAAAAATTTTCAATATAGGATTGCCAACGATTACAGTAATTATTATGGGCCATATTTACCATCTAGGTAAGATAATCTAAGAAATCATCATAACGAAATAATTATAAATATTATAATAACAACATACACAAGAGCTTTCAATAATAAAAGTTTTATTAACAGAAATAAAAATTATTTGTGACTGTTATTGATAATATATTAAGAAATTTTGAATATTCCATTTCTTAGTAAGCGACATATTTTCCACACAACTGAAAATTATCTAAAAATTATGTTCTTACAACAGAGCTTATTATAATTATATAATAAACACAATTTCTATATAACCCTACCCAAATGTGTGCCTAATTAGTTTGTAATATGTGGCAACTTTATATAGAACAAAAGTTTGCAAACGTGTGGCACTGTTCTTAATATTTGGCAATCGTTGAGGAGTTCGGGTAGAACATTTCTCGTTGGAAAAGTCTGAACTTTTATTTTATTCTGATAAGAAATTTCATTTCAAAACATTACAAAAAGCTATTCAAGTATTGAAGTGAAAAGTGAAGATTGTGTGTAAACTAAATTCATGCAAGAATGTGGAAAATTAATAGTTATAGTTTGAAAAAATAAAGATTCTTATATGAATTTTCTGAAAGTGAAATGACACTAAGAAGGCAAGAGTTTAGAACTATACTCGACGACGAAGGTGGTGGCGACGGCCATTAAGGAATTCGTGAGATTGAGATGAGTTAATTCGTCAAAGTATCGTCGGGATTCGGTTAAAGCTAAACAAAGTGTCGCCAGCAGAGGGGAGTGGTGATTGGGAGTGCTGCCAGATGTAACAGTGTAGCACTGCCTTAAAGATTAACGCATATTTTAGCATTTGTTTACAATTTTTTTATATATGAAAGAATGGGAAAGTAACATTTGAGTGCGTAAAAATGATTAAAACTAAAAGCTAAATAAGTGAGTAATAGTTGTGATCCAATTATATCAGCTAAGTTATGGTGTATGCACCAAAAGTGAGAATTATAAGCGGCAAAGTGAATATGCAAATTTTATATAATTTTAATATAAAAGAAGGTGTAATATGTAATATAAAATCAAATAGTAAGTAATAGTCATATATATTTCATATACTAGCAATGTGTAATGTCTCATATTTAAGCTAAATTAAAAACATATGCTATAGTTGTGTAAAGAGCGCGTAACCGCCTTCTCATCGCTCCTCCCAAAATTTTCAACATGACCTTTGTGGGCATGCGTCGTTCACAGTCGCCGAACCGCGGCTATTCCATGATGTTGCTTATGTAGCGGCAGCGAATGACGCTGTGTTTGTATTTGTTGTGTTGGTTTAGAGTTGTTGGTCGGGTAAAGAGACAGAAAACAATGTTTATGTCTGGTTGGAAATATGAGCTTGGAAGGGGATTTGTTTTCTAAGAAGGGTCAAAATGATTTATACCCAATTAGCATTTGTTTATAAACAATAAAATGGTGTCCTATTGTAGCCGCTGATGTTTCTAAAAAACAAGCAAATAAATAATATATGTGTTTTTCTGCAAAATTTTGTGTGGGAACATACGTCAATTATATTCCGTTCTTCCTTTTATCTATTATCAGCTCAGATCTAGTTACTTATGCTTAAAAACAGTTTTAAATGTACAAAAGTACATGTATCTTCCTTATGTATATTGTATATATGTATAGTAGAATTATTTGTCTTTACGAAAGCTGGGTTCATTTGACTACCAAAATACCACTTTGCCAATTGCATTTTTACCGCTACCTTTCCCAATAAGAAACACAGCACTGTTGATTGGGTAGTGGCCCCTCACTTTGCGTTAATCAGAATCTGTGTAAAAGCAGTTGTCTGACGCGTCAGGCGCAGCGGCCGATTAATATGAGTGCACTAAATTGAGCGTCAATCATTCTCGTTGTACGTACATTTGTTATTCCTTCGTTCTCATCTCCCTCTCAGCGAAATCAACGTTTGAAAGCACTATGCTGACGGTGTTGGCGGCTGAGGAAATGGCAGCGAATTCGATGAGTTCTCTTCACTTCTCTCCACCTAATTCGGTTCAGTTGAGTTCAGTCTACGCACCTTAACTCGTCGTCTCACCTCCGCCGACGTATTTTGTTCTATTCGGATTCTTTCTTCCTTGTTTTTTGCTTGGCACCAAAGTTCTTCCCCTCTTAATCAAGTTAATTCAAAAGTTATTCTTCAATGGCGTCCCATTAAGAAAAAATATATTCGAATATGCACAATGGATTGAATAAATTTATTTATGAACACTTCTAAATATGCGTATTAAGAAAATTTGTGTTAAAAAATAGAAGTCTTAAATGTTGGCTAAAACAAAAAACTAAAGCACATAAATGTATGGTGGCATATAGTGTAAAGTGCAATATGTATTTGAGAAAGAAATTTTGAAAATAAAGTGAGTCGTAATCGGCACGGAATTTGCAATTGTCATAATTCTTGTAAAGTGAAGCGAACAAATAACCAAATAATTCATATGTATGAATATAGATTTGGAAGAGGCGAAAACTTAAACATCTACGTACAGAAAAGACGACTTATTAACGTCATCGTGTCATTCTGGTAATTGTAAATATGTATCAGGTATTAAGTTGAGAAGTGTGAGTGAGTGGGTAAACGTTCGGCTGGCTGGTTGAATGCGAAGCAATTGGGTTGGGGAAGCAATAGCGTATAAGTTAGTTTATGAGCGAGTGAGCAGGCAGCACAAGGCAGGGTTGCATTTATGCGGGAACGAAATGAGCTTTGAAATATACCTAGGCCGTGCGTAGCAAGTAACAGACAGCCCGATACTTTGCCCGCGAATGCACAATTTGCCATACATACATACATTTGTATATAAGTACATTCTTGCTTCCATATGGATGGTATTTACTTAACATACTTGTATGTGAAAATATATGCAAAATTTAGTTTAAATGTGTATGCAATAAATAATTTAAGCTTTGGGAGGAAAGGTTCTTTGTTACAGAATAACAAATATTGTACGGACAGAAGATCACCATAGCACTGATCTGATATAAGACGAACAATGGAATACTTTTATTCAATTAAAATACTGAGCTGCATTTATTTTGTTTTTGATAAATGTAAAGTTGTTTTGACAAAAATTTACATTCAGGTTTTTGGTGGGTGGAGGACGTCAAGGTCAGGGAAAGTCAAGGAAAAAAAGTGTTGTTTGTCGGCTGTATAGAGTTTGTAGTTTGTTCAGCTGAAATATTTACAATTTTCAGACATGCTATGAACTTAAGGTATATTTTTTAATTATTTATGTTTCATTATATTAGTTGTTAAACTTCAAAAATTGTAATACTTTAAGTGCTTTGCCAAAAAAAGTATTCTATTCCCTCTCAAATATGTATATCTACTTTGCAATCCATTTCTTTTCCCCACCTTCACCTCGACCAAATTTCGTTTTTTTATTTGTTAAACAATTATGAAATGCACTCTAATTGAGTATAGTGGAAAATGAAATTAAAACGTCTGAAAAGTAGCAGAAGCTTATTGCAATAGAACGAACATTTAATAGCTCAGTCTCAGCTAAAACTCGACATAGCAGAACACAAAACACAGCATTACGAAAGCACGAAGACAGTGGATTATGAAGATAATTATGACGATGACTATAACAAATTTGGGAGAGGGAGAGAGAGTGCAAAGAGAATGAATGAACTTTAATTAAATGAGTAATAGAGCAAAAGAGCTTGATTATTCGCCTTGGATTGAATAAATATTTCATATGGTTTTGTCAATCCACTATTTAACTCTGCCTAATATGTGTTTATATATTTACTACCTTTAATTTTTGGTATTTTCAATTCATTAAGTATATGGTACATAAAATAATAGAAATTCAAAAGCACTGGACAGTAGATAGGCAATATGCGGGCTGACGTAGTTGTCGTCGTTTTTACCGAATGGGTCGGAGTTCTACATTACTGTAGTAGTATTTTATCTTATTGGCATTAGTGCGGTAAGGTGTATTTGTTCTATTCTAACTTGATGCGGCGGGGCATTGGCAAGAGCGAGAGGAAGCTTTTTTGTGAATAAAGTCGTAAAGAGAGCAAATTGGTAGTGAACGCACACATCAATACCTACAAATATTGCTGATATGCATTCATACATATGCATACGTTATTGCATGCATTGAACAAGACGAATGCCAAAATATAAGCCGAGAAAGAAGATTGAAAGGGGAAAAAGGTTGAGGTGAGGTGTTATGTACGGTGGTCACGATGTCTAAGTCATTTAGGCAGTTTTTCATTTTTATTTATTGTAATTTTTATTATGTTCATAAAGTTAAAATCAGTAAGTTTATTGTGGGGAATAGGAAGATTATTAGTAACAGTTTAAAATCCTGGAGAGACACCATATGTACAATTACAGTTTCTGGATACAATACAGTACTCAAACCTCGATAAGTACAATTCTTAAATTGGTACCTCTTTACTAGATGCGTAACCGTTTAGTCGTATGGATAATAGTGTATAGTAGGACTGGCTATTCATATCATAGTACATATGCAAATAAGTAATTTATCATTGGTATTATAAGTTAAAAGTTATATTTGCAATCTTTTTGGATTTTTCAGTTTTTCAAGGATTGGTAATTTGTAAGAATCCTGCCTTTACGCTAACAAGCTGTATATGTGCATCTTTACAAATGAATGTCTATACATACATCATATGTATATGCATATCTAGTATTATACGAAATAATCAACAATAAGTATATGTATGTAGAATCTTACAATACTTTTCAATAGCAATAAATTTGAAGATTATAAAAAGTTATAAAATATTTAAAATCAATGACAGTGCAGAGCACTTCAAAATATTATCGAAGATGTTCGCCATGCAGAACAGAATTCTGTGGTGTTTAGAAAATGAATAGTGAACATGCAACAGTAAAAGCAACTCCTGGTGAGTCAGCGAAAGCCACAATTACTGTAGCCACAGCTAATGAATTGAATCGACAATATCAACAACATCAACAACAGCAACGACATTCACCACAGCAACATATTAACAATTCTCATCATTTGCAGCAACTGCAATTACAGCAACAACAGACGCAAAACCATCAACTGAACGAGGTGAGTTTGACTGGTAAATAATAATATGCTAAACCAGTGTTTGTGTTTATTTCTTCCAACTTTTGGTTACTATGCTTTTATAGTGAAATAAACATTTGTTTTGTTGTTTATGTTCTTGTTTGATTATTATTCATCACTTTTCGTCTATTCGCACTGTAACTGAGCTTCACAAATAATATCAATAACAATAATTACTTGCATCGTCCGTCTCGGATTCTATCTCATATTTCCATACACTTATTGTTTAATAATGATTTAAATAGATGGCTTTGTGTTTTTCATTTACATAAAATTAGGTATATCGTAAAATTATTTCTTAATGAATTGATAAATGGTCTGGCTTACAAGTTTTAAACAGAATAAGAATTTAAGTTAGTTGTTAGGATTTAACACTAGCTACGGCGGCCGCCAAAATTAAATACTCATATATGTATGTTTGTGCATGAACATATGTACATACGTATAAAGTTATATTCACAAATCAGTGCACACTTATATAGCTTTTTATAAAGAGAGTTAAGAACAGCATTACATAATAAATATATAGATACAGATATATGTACATATACATATGTATCTATATACATACATACACTGGTGGTAGAAATAATAGGGACAATGGATTTATGCTTATGCTGCTTATTTCAAAGCCCAAAAACACTTTTTATCAACATAGGTTTTAATCATTAGTCACTAAGCAATGAAGTTTGATAACAGTAGTTTGTGTTTATTGCATTTTCTGTCAAATATTTCTATAATGACGGTGGGAGTCTTACTTTGTTTCAGTTGGTAAAAATCTGCGAATATTCGTTTCAAAAGTAAAATATCGAATCAAAACAAGACAAAAATTTTTTTTTTAATAGATACACTAATATACTACGAAAATGAATGGTTAAATATGGGCCGCGAAAAGCATTGCAATCCTTTTGACTAGCAAATGATGGTGAAACTATAATATTAGAGAATTAGGGCCCTTCACAACGCGAAAACCCCCGAAAATAAAAGAAAGAAAACCTAAATCTTAACCCGCTTCAACGAAATGTTGGTACTTTACACCAAGGAAAATCCATTTAAAATTTCCAATGACTTGAAAATGGACTGGTTGCTTTTCATTATCTGGATAAGTGATAGAAAGTGCAGAAGAGTATTAAAACATTCTTAGAACGTTATTCTCGAAATGTAGGACTTGCAATTGCATTATTCAATTCCATTTTAAAGTCATTAGAAGTTTTAAAAGGATTTTTTTACAATATTTGAAACGGGTTGAGGTTTTGCCTTTTGTACCGCTAGTTTCGGGTTTTTATCAAGGGTATTAACTATCAACCACTATTTTGCCATGATATTGACTATTTCCCCCATACTTTTCTCTTTCATAAATAGTTTTATCATCATTATACCCTGAACATGGTACATTAAGTTTGCCACGAAATTTGTAACACCCAGAAGGAAACGTCGGAGACCCTATAAAATCTGTCTGTTCGGCTATTTGTATATATACAAGCTAGTCCCTAAGTTTTTATGATATCGATCTGAAAATTTGCACCTCTCCTTTTCTCACTAAGTAGCTGCTCATTTGTCGGAACGGCTATAGCTGCCATACAAACTGAACAATCGAAATCAAGTACTTGTATGGGAAACTTTTTCATTTGACGAGGTATCTTCACGAAATTAGGCATGAGTTATTTTTTAAGGCAACAACGTCTGCGCAGAAATTGTTCAGATCAAATCACTATATGATATAGCTGCCAAACAAATTGAATCAAGTTATTGTAAGGAGACGTTTTTTCTTCTTTTCCGTTCAAAAGGGCCTTTTGCGGTCAATATTGTATTACTCTTCCTATTAATATCAAATTAAAAACCAATATTATTTTTATTTATTTACCCGTAATGTATCCATTAAAACTCAAAATGTTTTTGACATGTTTTAATTCGAAATTTTAATTAATTTTTTAAATTTATTATGAGTGTCCCTATTATTTCTGCCAGCTCAAAACGCTGTCAATTTAAATAAAATAAAATAAACGCCGACATTTTAGAAATAATTGAAGGAAAATTAATTAAACACAAAGGACTGTATCAAGCATCGTTGCATAGTGACTAATGATTAAAGCCTATGTTGATTATAATTGTTTTGGGCTTTAAAATAAGCCAATGAATTATATCTGCCACCAGTGTACGTATGTCTGTATATACATATATTTGATATATACAGTTAATATAGATTATATTCCGGAGTTTTTGAAATGTCTAATTAGCCATATATTAAGTGAAGTGTTTAAATTGTGTTTAGGTTATTAGACCTACCGTTAGCAATTTAGATGAAAAAACTTCTTATAAAAACAACTTGTAGGTCTATCCCGTTGCATTCTAAAAGGAGAGGTGTAAAGGTCAAATATATAAAAATGCTCCAATTTATGAAAATTTGATTTGATACATATTGTTTGTTTGTTTTATGAATTGAAAATATAACTTTAATCAATTTTGATACCAAATAATATATTTTATTGTAATTAAAAATTCACACAAATTACAACCCATATGTATGTATGTTTATTTATTTGTATCCGTACACATCTAGTAAACATAAATTTAATTCATTTACTCATTGTTTAACTTCCATAACTTTCTCTATATTTTCTTCTATATTTATTTAACAGTTTTTGTTCACCTTCAAAATAGTTTACCATTAAATACTTTCTAGCATTTAAAATATAATAATACTGATGTACATATGTATATTCAAAGGTAGTTTGCTTAAATTGTTAAATGTCGTTTGCAGTTTAATTGTCCTCTCTCTAACCTCATTCAACCCCCTTCATTCGGTTATGCTCTGAAACATTTTGCAGCGCAAATCCTATGCTTACTAAGAAACTCTCCTTTACATACATTTGTACATATACCATTTACCCTATCACAATTAAATGAATGTTCGTGCCTTTTGATTAACGCCACACCTCATCTCTGATTCTGCTCTTTCTCTATTTTCTCCAAGTCCTTTTCATAACGAATAGTTTTTACTTTGCCACTGCCGTCCTTAGCTTTTAGTATTCTTATTCGATATACAAAATAAAATTATGTTACGTTGTTTGTGCGGAGTATGGCTTGCAATGAAATGTTTTGGCCCATTTTATGGGATGGCGCACCCAATTTGCGATAATATTTTCGTTATTGCTGCAGTTTTAAATGGGTTTGTACGTATTGAAGATATTCGTATTGTTATAAATGCGAGGAGAGCCTTAAATCAGATACTTGAAATGCTTTTGTATGTAAGTATACACGAATTGTATGTACATATGTTGTTAGTAATCAGCCAAAACTGGCTAGCGAGCGCACTGTACATGCACGTAAAACGTACTCTATACTTCCTTCCTAAAGTACTTTAAAATTAATCACACAAACTCGTTATTTCACTTCATTTTTTTCAATGGTAAAAATCGTCAGACAAACTTTTCGCGTCGTAAACAAACAGGTCCGATCTGAACCATTTCTTCGGCGATTGTACCGTTGTCTTGGACAATAATTCATTCCAAATTTCGTGAAGATATCTCTTCAAATAAAAAAGTTTTTCATAGGGTCCGATATCGGTTTCGACAAATGAACCGCTTTTATCGCGTATAAACAGAGAGATGGACATAGCTAAAACGACTCAGCTCGTCATGCTGATCATTTATGTATACTTGTAATATGTATATATGTTATAATATCTCCGACGTTTCCTTCTGGATGTTACACAACTCGTTGCAATCTTGATATACCCTTTTCAGGGTATAAATATTGATTGTAAAATTATTACCGAATTTCCGCAAACGAAGCGAAAATATATTATATATCAGCCTGAACCACATATATAAATATATACATATCTACAGACACCAATATCCATATAAGTAAAAAATTATTGATGATCATCTAATAGATAATCGTAATGTCATGAGCTTACATAAGCATTTCATATGAACTTCTTGTCCTACTCCCATTTGACCTTTGACTTTGTATGTATTTCTTTACTCACATGTATGCGTATGTGGCGTACGTTGTATAATTGTTTAATATAGATACATATGTGTGTGAAAATATATTTATGGACATGAAATATAATGCATTTGTCTAAAATCTCACTTTACCTGTATATTAATTCATTTGCACTCATTTGTAAACACTCACATATATCGTACGATGATTTTTGAGAACAATTTTTCATACGAGCAAGCAGACGCATATACATACATACTTACCCACACATCTACATCTACATACACACAACCATTTGTGGATATACGTTCTTGCATCTAGAATATTGTGTGTGCTAAAAGAGCTGTTGGTTGGCAAACAAATCATGTGCATATACTATAAACGTACACATGTCATATGTACATACATATATGAATGTTATGTAGCTTACAAAAATAATGCCAAAAATAACAATTTGCATCCTAAATAAAAAAAGAAATCCTTTGAGTCTGAAAATGTGATATTTCATTTTTAAAAGCATCCTCAACATGTTGCAGCCACAACAAATCCGAAGACAACAAACAGCACAACAACAATTGCAGCTGCAGCAGTCGCAGCAACAGAGTAATTTAATGTCGTTGAGCAGTGCGAGTGGTGGGGGTGGTGGTGGCGTCTCCACTGCTATAGTTACAACCCCCTCCACAATAGCCACTGTCAGCGCCGGGGCTGGAGGCGGCATGGTTGGTGTTGGCGGTAATACCTTAATACCACTGGCAGCCCCGGTCCAACATCAGCCAGTTTCAATAGCCACTTTGACGGCGGCGACAATTGCGGCTGTTGCAGCTGGAGGTGGCACACCAACCACCCTAACCGCGACGCCTGTAACTATCGGTGGTCTGAGCATAAGTGTCACGAATCCTGCAACTGTCGTTACTGGCAATATTGCTGATACAAAGATAGGCCAAACGGCATTGCAACAGCACCAACAACAAACGCATCAACAGCAACAAACAATAAATTCAACTGGAGACACATTAGCAACGGCCTCAACCACAACAACTGCACTATTGCCAAATGCACCAAACGTAAGACTTTTACGTCGTAGTACAACAACAAAAAAAAAGAGCAAAACTAAAAATTTTCTCACACTCACACACTAGCTCATCATGCATATCAACCAATCACCAGTTCATTCAATACTTACAATCATCCCAACAAAGAAAACAAACATTGACACATTGGAGTTACTTTAAACGCCCGCCACTGATTCTGTAGAAAGTCTTATAAGAAGGGCCATGCGTTCTGCATGAATTGCATTCAATTAGATTACATAACATATTAATTAAGAAAGTTTTAGTATCTAATATTCAGTAAAATTTGTTCGACCTTCAGCTTGTAGATCTATACTTTCCAATGCACGACAAACAAAATTCTCTAATGACCCGCTTGCGAGGAAATTCTTTTTTTTTTCAGTAATGACTCAAAAGCAAATCTTTATTATAATTTACCTTTAATTGTTCTTTCTCTTAAATATACTCTAAGAATTTCTGCTTAGTTTCATTCATACAGTCGCACTAATCTCATTTAATTCGTTCTTTTATTGATTAAATACAGTGAATCTTATTTATTTTTTCATTATTATACGATTGTATGTGAATTATGTATGTAATTGTTTCAGTTGAGCAAATATTGGGTAGTTTCAAATGGGCAAGCGCTTCCCTATAATATTTTGCCGAATGGAACAATAATCACACAACATCAGCGGCAGCAAACGACGGAACAGGATACTCATTCACAACAACAGGTTCAACTGCAGCAACAGCAGCAGCAGCAACAGCAACAACAACAACAGCAGCAGCAGCAACAGCAAGCTAATGCATTACAAATTCACGGTAATGTAAAAATTTCCAATTAGAAAATTTGTCTGCTTGTTTGCTTAGATTTTTCGTGGTCGAAATGGTTAAACATGCCACCCTTTCTTTGAGGGTAGTTGCCAAAAATAGAGTTTTATTTTATTGTTGACAAATAGTCCTAGTCCTAATTATTATTATTATTTTTGCAGCTGCAGTCAATGCAAGCGATGACAATCGACAACAACAACAGCAACATGTTTCGCAGCAGCAACATGTAACCGCCGCTGTGCAGTCACAGCAAACTCAACAACAGCACCAACAGCCCCAACAACAACTCCTACAACGAGAAAATATTAAGGAGGAGAAACCATTTTTAGATAACGGGAAGCTAAATCAATCCATAGTAATGCAACACGTAGGCGCAACAGCTTCGTCCGCGCCGACGACATCCGGTGCTACCACCATAACTCTAGGTGCGCCGAAAACCGAAGTTAAAGACGATGTTGGAATGGGCAAACCGCCTATTGAAATGTATAAAGTTAACATTGAAGACTTTTCCCAGCTTTTCACCTATCATGAAGTTTTTGGTAAAATTCACGGTGATGTTATGAATCAGGCCGCACATGCAGTGCCCAATCCTGCACCACCACCACCGCACGGTAATGCGAGCAACAATGCCGCAGTTGCGGCCGTAGTGGCCAGCGCTAATGCTGCCGCTGCTGCTGCTGCTGCGGCTGCGGCAGCCGCAAATACAACAAGCGGTGTTGTTGCCCCCACAACAACTACCAATTTAACAACGGCAATCAGCACTAGTGGCACTACCACTGCCCCCGCAACTGCTGTAACAGCAACCCCAACTGTGACCGGGGAGCTTTTGATGCCGAAAATGGAGGGCGGCCTGCCGGTTGTGGATCAAACAACAACCATCGCCCTTGCTCCTGATGGCACACCAATCGCTACTGGCACACATGTCTGTGACATCTGCGGCAAAATCTTCCAATTTCGCTATCAATTGATCGTACATCGACGTTATCATAGCGAACGGAAACCATTCAATTGCCAGGTTTGTGGACAGGGCTTCACAACCTCACAAGATTTAACGCGGCATGGGAAGATTCACATCGGCGGACCAATGTTTACATGCATCGTTTGTTTCAATGTATTCGCTAACAATGCAAGTCTGGAACGGCATATGAAACGACATTCAACCGATAAGCCATTCGCATGTACGATCTGTCAGAAGACATTTGCACGCAAGGAACATTTGGACAACCACTTTCGTTCGCATACGGGCGAGACACCTTTCCGGTGCCAATACTGCGCTAAGACATTCACACGGAAGGAGCACATGGTGAATCATGTGCGTAAACACACGGGTGAGACGCCACATCGTTGCGATATTTGTAAGAAGTCATTCACGCGCAAGGAACACTATGTTAACCACTACATGTGGCACACTGGTGAGTGGTGGGAGCGCGTTAAAAGACAACTCCCCTCTTTAACCTCAAAATATTTTATATAATTAACATTCACGTCATTTATGCAAACAATGAGAATTTATTACTGGAATGGTTTTTACTTAGTGCGTCATGTGTAATTTGCAAATCAGTTCCAACATATTGAAGTCTAAATGAGAAATTGCTTTGTTTGTTTTGCAAATGCCAAATAAGTGCAATTCTTATTAGATAAACTCTAAACTGTAATCTAACTATTAAAAAATTTTCGGCTGGGCATTTGCAAACCATGGAATAACGAGTTCTGTTTCTTGTGGCTGATTCAAATGCAAGTTTTGTTTCAGATATTTACTTTGATAGAAAAGTTCGATGTATGCTTTTGTATGAGTTCGTTCACATCGAGGCGACGCAAAGCAACGCGAAGCAAAATGTTTGGCAACTCTCATCGTTTTACGCTTTGCAAAACAACAGTCACATTTTTATTTGAGAGAAGCATGGAAAGCAAGGCTTCCAATCAAAAGACCTATTCACATAAAACTTTCCTCGTTTTAGGTGTCAGTTCATATTGAAGCAACGAAGCGAAGAAACCAATGGGTATGCCACAATGAACGCTTTGATTGCAGAGTTTCTCTCAAATAAAAATGGCGACTGTTGCCTGGCAAAGCGTAAAAATATGAAAGTTCACCAACATTTTGTTTGGCTTCGCGTCGAAAACTTGTTATATGAACGTACTGTTACAAAAGCGTACATTAAGAACAAAATAGCTGACGTAAAGCGAAGCAAAAGTGCAATGTGAATTGACCATTTGATTCGAGAGAGAGCCGTCAAAACTCTCATGTTTTATAACGTTTGTCAATGATGCCACTGTCGAAAGTAAATTGATTGGGTATTTTAAAAATAACTTTTGTTCATTTTGCATTTCATTTCCACGCATATAAAATCGTAAATACGTGCATTCATATTATAAGTAAATAATGAATCAGTACTATATCAGTACTATCAGTATATAATAAAATAATTTATAATTAATAAAGACATATGATTAACATTTTAAATAATAATATTTCGCATTTGTAACAAAGAATAGCAAAAAAAATCATTGTAGCACGTAATACCAAATTATTTGTGTCTTTCCTTGAAATATCGTTTCGCACTGATTTTGTCAGTTACTTTTAGCGGGTTTATTTCTGGCATCCCATCTTTATCAGCTGTTCAAATTTCCTGATCGTCATCGCTGCCAACATAATCAGGAAACGCGGCGTTTAAGAGAAAAATTAGGGAAAATGAGAGAGTCTTCATCATGTCATCCTTAATCCTGCACACCTCAAGCGTCTTTTTTGAAAATGCAGCACTGTGTTTAGTATATTGTAAATAATAGAAATTGCTTGAGGTTTTGTTAGCCAAGAGTTTAAAATAATATCAATAATGTTTCCATTTTATTCCCACGATGATTACAAAGAATTTATTACGATTAAAAAGGAAGAAGAGGAACCATTCTTCTTTCCCCCACCCACCACTCTAAATAATCTTGTGAAACAAAGTGGTGTCGAATTTTCAAGTAAATAATTAGCAAAAGTTACGCTTTCTCTGTGTGTGTCCAATTAAAAAACATTTCCATTCCTTAGCACCATTTCATAAACACACAAACTTTTAAGTGCAGATATATGTACTAAAGAATATTGAAGAATATTATAATATATATATATATTTTTTTATTTTTTATTATAGGTCAAACACCTCACCAGTGCGATGTATGTGGCAAGAAGTATACACGCAAAGAGCACCTAGCTAATCATATGCGTTCACACACTAATGACACACCATTTAGATGTGAGATATGCGGCAAAAGTTTCAGTCGCAAGGAGCACTTTACCAATCACATTCTCTGGCATACAGGTAAACCAGTAAAACATTTGTGGTCGTTTCCAAAACTAATCTTATAAACTCAATCCACAGGCGAAACACCTCATCGTTGCGATTTCTGCTCTAAAACATTTACACGCAAGGAACATTTGCTTAATCATGTACGTCAACATACCGGCGAATCGCCTCATCGTTGCACATATTGCTTGAAGACGTTCACACGCAAGGAACACCTAGTAAATCACATACGTCAGCATACTGGTGAAACACCGTTCAAATGCACCTATTGCACGAAGGCATTTACGCGCAAAGATCATATGGTGAATCATATAAGGCAGCATACTGGAGAATCGCCGCACAAGTGCACATACTGCACAAAAACATTCACACGAAAGGAGCATTTGGTAAATCATGTGCGTCAGCATACTGGTGAATCTCCTCATCGTTGCAGTTACTGCAAGAAGACATTTACACGCAAGGAGCATTTGACGAATCATGTGCGTTTGCATACTGGCGATTCACCGCATAAATGTGAATATTGTCAAAAGACATTTACGCGGAAAGAGCATCTAAACAATCATATGCGCCAGCACTCCAGTGACAATCCACATTGTTGTAATGTGTGCAACAAGCCATTTACTCGTAAAGAGCATCTCATTAATCATATGTCACGTTGCCACACCGGTGATCGTCCTTTTGCTTGTGAGACTTGTGGTAAATCGTTTCCTCTCAAAGGAAACCTGCTGTTCCATCAACGTAGTCACACTAAAGGACAGGAATGTGAACGTCCGTTTTCATGTGAGAAATGTCCCAAGACCTTTATATGCAAGGGTAAGAGATTTTCAAAATTCTCAAAATATTAGAACCACTATTATAATCTATATTTCTTAAAGGTCATCTTGTCTCCCATATGCGTTCGCATTCGGGCGAAAAACCGCACGCCTGTACATTGTGCAGCAAAGCTTTTGTTGAGCGTGGCAATTTGAAGCGTCACATGAAGATGAATCATCCCGATGCGGTAATGCCTCCCCCGCCGCAACCTCATCCGCAAATCCCAGCTGGTATATTGACTTCGGTCAAAGAGGAAATAAAACCAATATTTCGTAAGTGTTAAGATAATTGTATTGTGAGTTATATTGCGAAAATATATTGGTGAAGTGCGCTTCTCTAAAAATTCTTCTTAAGAATAAAAGCGTCATATGATTAAGTAGATTGAGTTATCCTACAAATTCAGCAGTAAATATTATATATTTAGTACTCTTACAGTGCCACAGAGAACTCTAGAAAAATAGTTTTCAAGTCTTCATGTTATCAGATATATTGTTCAGATCGGAGCATTATAGCTTATAGCTGTCATACAAACTGATCGATAAAAACCAGTCTTTATATAAAAAACTTTTGTATTTGACGAGATATCTTGACGAAATTTGGCATCGTATATTATTATGGATTATTGTTCAAGGCAGCGGTACAATCTCCGAAGAAATTGTTCAGATCGGACTACCATAGTATAGCTGCTATACAAACTGACTGACCAAAATCAGAATAAAGATCTTTTTTTATACCTTTTTTGCTATAAGAAATGCACATTTGAAAGGTATTATAGCTTTGGTGCAGCCGAATTGAACGCTTTTTCGTGTTTTTTTTTGTACCCAGTTCACTTCCATGTACTTAACACAATTTTGTTTTAAATTATTTATATTATTGTTCGGCATCCTTTTAGTAAACGAGGGATATTATTTATGATCTTGATGTGCTATGCATTTACTTTGATGAATTTTCATATTTCCGCTTAGTTCCTCATCAAACACCGACCATGCACACCATCCAACAAATTACATCGGGCGCAGCTGCGGCAAATGCTGTGCAGTTGGCCCCTAGTCTAGTGCCGTTGGTTACCTCAACGATAACTTCGCATAATAATCAGAAACCGCAGCAGCAGCAGCAACAACAACAGCAACAACAACAACAACAGCAGCAACAAGCACATCAACAGCACCAACAACAAGTGCAACAGCAGCAGCAACAACATCAACAGCAGCAACAGCAGCAGCAACAACAACAACTACTGCAATTATCTATACAACATCAACAACAGCAGGAGCAACATCGCCAACACCAGCAACAGCAACAGGCGCATCATCAACAAACACAAGCGCAAGCACAACAACAAGCTCATGCGCCACAACCTCAACCACAACAACCGCCACCTGTGCCTATCGCACTAATACAAACCGATCCGAGCGTCTTGGCACGTGCCGCCATGCAATTGCAGCACCTGCCAGCGAATGTCGAGCAGCATCCGGTGGTTTACTAACAGCAGCATAATTTCACACACTGGTGAGGCGCGTTGACGGCAGCGTTCAATAATAATAATAATAATAATAATAACAATAACGTTAATAATATTAGCGAGGTGGATAGAACGGTGCTGAGATAAACGCGAGGTTGCAGCTGCTATTACAATGGCGCAATGGCGACTGGGGCTTAGTAATGCAACCGAGACTGGAAGTTGATGGCGTGATTGTGAAAATGCAACATTTTATATGGCGCGTATGCATTAAAGTAAGACGGTATTCGTATAGTAAAAGAAATTTATTTTTCTGCACTTATTTCTAAGTTGTTAATTTAAGCCATTTATACAAACATTAACCGTGCTGCATTACTGTAAATGCACATATATATCTTGAGTCCAATATTAAGACTACAAGCAACATTTTTATTACTGTAATTAGAACATAAGTTTAAAACCCATTTAATTTGAAAATGAAGTCAAGATTGTCGCTATAATATCCAAAACCTCGCGACACGCTGTTCTCCGCTTAGAATAAACCTGAATTAGTGAGTAATTTCTTATTCTATTGTGCTGATTTGAAAACTCTATTTTTAAGCTTTACTTTTCACCTTTACTGTTTATTTCGAACTTTTTGTGTTGAAAGTCCCAAATGGTAGTTTTGTGCAATATTGACGAGTTTTCTAAAGCTCTACTTTTAAAGTAGTGGCATTTCTTTTTACATAAACAGTGTTATTCACGCTTACTTAATTCAGATTTACGCTAATCAGGTTAACAGTATGTTTGGGTAAAAACGATTGGATGTGTGCTGAATTGTGAATGTTTAGTTAACACATTACCTAAAAGTGTTACTTAAAATTTTTGAACTGCCAAATTTGAGTTGGCATCATATAGTTCAGACTTTAATAAATTATTATGTTCAAGGAAAGTTTTTGTAAATTACTTTTATTTAAATAATTGTTAATAAAAATATGCTTCCAAATGCTTTATTTATTTTAAATCTTATTAAAAACAATATAAAAACCAACATTTTAGACACACAATATCGAGTAAAATTTTCCTACAGTTTTAATATGTCACATTTTGCATTATAATTACTGAATGTATTTTCGAAAATCATGTTCTCTTCGTTCTACGATTTCTTTGCACACTATGGAGAATACAAATCGTGCCATCCAATTTAATATACCTATATATATGCTATATGTTTAAGATACATACATACAAATATACAAGGTATCAACGAGAGATGTATATAATGCAATGCATACAAACATATTTAAAAATATGATTATATGTAGAAAGAAGTATTTTGAAAATATCGCCAACAACATGTAGTGAGGTTGTGATCTCGATATTTGTTTTCACCATTAAATTTTTTTTTTCGACTTTATCTTTATTATCTGCAGCTAAATGGTTTTGAATTTTACTGTGACAACCATTTTTAATTAAACTACAATTTATTAAATATTTAAAAGTAAAATATAAAAAGATACGCTGTATTATTCGCATTTTAGAAATGAGTAAAATTAAGTGACTCTCAAGAGCGGTGAGAGGTAATTAGAATAAAAGTGAAAACTATTGTCATAATTGACTTTGATTTATTTTTTTGTTGGATAGAAACTTAAGTATAATATGAAAGATAAAATTAGATGTGTAGTAGTATGGCTTTAAGCGTAGTATATGCAAAAATTGTAAATTAAAGTTAAACATTTGAAATTCGGTATTACTATTATTGGTGAAAGAAACAAAAGAAGAAAAATTAAAATATGTACGCAAGCCAGCATAAGAACGTGTACAATTCCAAATTAAATTATTCATTTACATGCAACTAGAAATTAAGGCAGCAGCAATAATAAGAAAATATTTAAAGTCTAAAATAAAAGCCTACGAAAAAATTTTAAAGCGACAACTTAGTGAACATTAAAAGAAAATCATTAAATTAGTTATACATACATACATGCTATACATACTATATATATATATATATATATATATATATATATAAATATGTTATTGGATCCGTTAATCAGAAAGTAGTTGATCTAACGCGTATTACACGTACGTACATATACACATAAATACATATAAATACATACAGTTGATAAGTTTGTTTCCGAACTACTAGTAGCTGCTAGCTACCATCAGGAAGAAAAATGTGAAATTGACAATTTACTCTCACAAAGAGCGGAATAAGGAACAAGTAAACACTCGGAGAAAAACAGAAGAAAATATCATAATATTGTTTTTAATAATCATATCATATAAACACTTGAAAATTAATTAATAGAATTTTTATTTTAATAATTCAACACAATTAAAATTAATAAAATCAAAGCAAATTTCAAGTATCAGACTTTTTTACATGTTTTTAAACAGCTATTTCATCATATGGCAGTAGTTAATTTCTGCTAGCAGAAACTAACAGCTCTCTTACGCGCTCAACTTGTGCTCTCTTCTGCTAGTTTTTTGGGTTAAGAATTGCTTTTCAAGCAGAAATTTGGCTAGCAAGTGATAGTTAACAGTGAAGAAACAAACCTATTGTAAAACATCAAAATGTTAACAAGGAATTCATGTAAAAACCATAAAAAAGTTGAATTGACATTAAGGGTTACAAAATATTTTCGCAAGAAAAAGCCCGCTCTCAAGTAACACAACCTTATATAATATGATCTTTGTATTTTTTTTTTTAACTTTTTTTAAATTTTCTTTTATTTGTTTTCTAATAAAACCGTTTACATATTTATTATCTACATTCATCTATACGTTCTACTTTTTATTATATTATGACTGACCCAAATTTATATTTCCACTGGTGCAGAAAGTATTCAAATAATAACAAAAATCATTCATACACCATTTACTTTCATACATACATATTTATCAACTGCATACACACAAATACAATATCTAAACTAACTAATTATACATAGCAACAGCAAATATAAAACTAAACATAAAAATAATTAACTGTTAACGCTTTAATTTACAATTAATTGATACGCATAAATAAATGTACGATAAAAGGATAACGGATAGTTATTAATAAGGAACCATACAAAGGTGGGGTTTGATTTTTTCGTATGAGCAGCAGCGTTAAGAAAGCGTAGTAAACGATAACACCAGTAAAATAATTTATAAGAAATAGCAATCTAATGCTTACATATATACACACATTACTAATAAATAAAAGAATGCTAAAATTATTGCAAACATAGTGTTAGTTGATAATAATATATATACATACATATATACAATATACATTTAGGCTCATTTACTAAGCTAACAACTAATACAACAATGATTGTTATTATATGGGTATAAAAGTAATGCAATTAATATATATACTAATGGTTAATTACAAAACCAAAAACACACAAAAATATAAAGATTTTGAAATACATTATTATGCGCGCTGAGCGTTCGATAAGCATAAATGCAAGGGTGACAATGAAAAACATATACATACAAGTATGTAGGTATTTATAGCTAAAATATGCAACTAACTTTGCACAAGCACTAAACAAATTAGGAGCGTTGAAGAACATAGACAATGTCACATGTGTAAACGCTTAAATAATGTAACTGCATAGTATTGAGTATTGACATATTGGTGGCTACTTGGTTACAATATCGGTACACTTTGTTGGTCGCAAATAAAATTCTTATGAGCAAGACGCTTACACGGTAATAAATGAGAAAGGGCTAACACTTCACTGTACAGACTGGCCACCTTATGTACTAGCGCATAGCTAAGAAGAGTTAATTAAGAAATGATAATGGCAATGTTGAAAGTTTCTTTTAGCTTTGTAAATGTGCGTTATTTTTTAGCGGCTTCCAGAAAATGTGTAATTGTGCGAAATTACAAAAAAAAAAATTAATAAGTGTATGCCAATCAAATGCGCAGTCTACTAGAATGTGTATGAAGTTACATTTACACTGAAAATGTATAAAGATATACATACATATGTATTATTATTAAGAAGAAGAATATTATTGCTGATCGCTTTATCGCTGATTAACATATTTAAAAATATATATTGGAATTTAAACTTTAAAAAAGTAAAATACCAACCAATTAAAAAACGCATATATATAACAATATAAACAAAACATAATTAAAGTTGTAATAATAAGAAATAGTAATAAAAACATATCCTTGTATCAACTAAATCACAGTTTGTCAAATGAAAGCAAAAATTAACATGTTTTAATAAACAAAAAATATTGTAGCGCATAAAAATAGAAATGTATGCACTGTTTTAAGTTGAACTCTTAAATGAAAAGCTTACAATAGATCGTTAAACAATTGCAACAACAGCAAGAAATAACAATTGCTATAAACATAAACCTTACTACATATATATTTTAATGCACTGCAATTATATATACATATATATTTGATTTGCTTTTGAAAATAATATGATCCTGTGTTTTATTTATTTCTTTTGTGGTTTGTTATTTTTAAGATTTTTTTTTGTCAAAATCAATTTTTTTTTCTGGTCTGATTTAATTTTTATGGCGGTGATTTTATGACATTTCTAGTTTGTTGTATTTTTACCAATTTTATATTAAACACCACCAGGGTTGCGAGTTTTTTGATTCAAAATTTTTGGATTTAAAATTAATTCCAACATCAGTTTTTAATATACTAGTTTTACTAGTAAAAATTAAATTTTTGATCCTAAATATCGTGTTTTAAAAATTGAGAAAACATTTGTTATTGCAAAAATTGGTGTAACAAATTTTATTTTATTTTATATTTTTTCAAAAAGAAAGCTGGAATGAAAAGGGATAAAAAAGCAAAATTTACATAGTTTTTCCTGAAACATTAAAATTAAAAGCAATTTAATACAAATAAGACGAAAAGAGCTAAACTATGTCGATATTTCATTAAAAATAGGTTTTCCTTTTCAAAATGTGACCAAATGGTAGAGCAAGCACAAACGCGAAAAAAATGAAAATTTTAGTAATTTCTTATTTAATTGTAATTATAAGCTTGGAAGTAAATTTTTATTTTTCAATTTTTATTTGGGATTGAAAATTTATAGGTTTATCGGGATTACGAAATAAATAAATAATTCAAATTAAATGTTAATTTAATAATATTTTTAATGCATTATTTGCAACCCTACACTATCTTTAATCCGTGTTCTTCTGTATTTTACATTTGCAAAACTAGTTTTTGTTTCATTTCTATTAATTATCACAGACTCAACAACATAACAGTATAATTAATTATATGAAAGAACTAAGGGCGAAAAAACCATGCAGGGAACAATTTTAAATTGTAAACTTTTACTCATAATATTAAAAGATTAACAAAAAAAGAAACAATACAATTAACTGAGACAAGACAATGTTACAGTGTGCACTAATTACACGCAGAAATTAAGAAAACACTAATTTGATAATCTTAACTTGTTTCAAACGTAGTCTCCTTATATGACTAGCTGGGGTGCCCCATAAACAGCAACAGATGTACCAAGTATCTTACAAAATTCTGCTTTATAATTCAATAACATTTCATCTTCAACTAAAAAATTCCCATTCTTCTTCTCCACTTTCCATTTCGTCACAGAAAACTACTAAAAGTAATAATATTGCTTAACTTAAGAAAAATGTTAAAAGGGTGGTGGTTATGTCACCTATGTATACTGATAAAGACTAAACTATTAGGAACTTTTCATGCAAAAATTAGTAGTTATGTTTTCGGAATTCTTTTATCTGTTTTTTTGATGCCCAAAAATTCAAACATATTTAACAAGAAATATCTCAACACCAATAGATGACAAGTTAACTTTATGATGAGAAATCTCGATATATGTATATTGGAAGCTTTAAGTAAGTAAAGAATAAACACTTCTAATGACACGCTTGAACAGATCAATCCAAACAAATTAACTGAAGCAAAAGCGTCATGTTTCCTATAAGTAAATAAAATGCAATAATCGCAACCTACATACATAAATACATACATTTATAGGCGAGTAAACGCAGTAAATATAGACACATATACCAATAACAAACGTAAATCAATAAACATCTAATAAACAAATGAAGAATAAATTAACATAGCCGAAAACAGCAGCCACGTTTGTGAGAACAATAAGCAGTTTAAAGCATAAAATATAAGCATGCCTACATACATACAATACCTTATTATTAAACTCATAATTCCATGCATACTTACATTAATTACAGCAAGAATGCGACGGAAAGGATTATATATAAATTATATACATATATATATATATTATATACAAAAATATTCACAAATATATCTATATATATATACAATCGTATACATGACAGTATATACATTCGTATGTGTACCCAATATATACACATAAATATACATACATATATATATATGAAAATTACTCATTATATAAGAATGCAACTGAAGTATACAGTAAAGATTCAATTTAGAGTAGATAATAATGTAATAACAAGATGAAAAAAAAAAATAAAACAAAAAAACAACAACAAAAATAATATAGTAGCAACGTAGCAGGACCATAGAAAATACCTAACTAATCTGTAATCAGCAAGGATAATTACATACATACATAAGAACATATTTTACATACTTAAAAATCAACTAACCTTACACCACAATAAACAGCGACCGTTAAGAAAAGCCCGGTTCAATCAATTGGCATATGGCAGATTTGGCAAAGAAATTGAAATTGTAAAATGACATTCACAAAACGCATGCAAACACACATCTACATACATATACCTATAATTTCATAAGTATTTGTAAACAAACGAACTAAATTAAAATTGTGAAGTTGATAGCAAAGTGGGCAATGTAAAGTTATTTATAAAATATAACACATAAACACACACCCATGCATGCAAATTAGAAATACACATAAATCAACACAAAAATGATGTCGGTGAAAAGTTTAACGCAACACATGAAAAATAAGCAAGGAAATATTAAATATGTAAAAATAAGAATTTTAGAAAAATGTATTGAAAAAGTTTGTTTTATTTGAAATTGGATGGTTCAGTGCAGAATATGCAATTTTTGGTCCCTTAGATTGCTCTAGTATAAATAAGTATAATTATAAAACCATAAATGAGTTTTGCCTTTACTTTTACTTTTGTTTTTTACAGAGTTCAGGTTTCGAATCAATAGTCGTCACGAAGTATACTACAAATGCGAAATGTTGAGTTTTTTCACCTAACGGTTGTTTGAAACACAAAACCTAAAGGAGTGAAATAGTTATACTATATTTAATTATATTCCTTGTTATCCGTCATCTATATATAATATATACAATCCGTCAGTCTGCGATATCGAAAAATTTAATAAAATTGATTAAACTTTATATTATAATTTGAAATTCAGAAAATTGCTACGGCCACAAAACGGAATTATTTAAAAACTCAAAAAAGTACGAAAATTCGGTACAGATACCACATACATAGGTAAAGGGTAAATACAATACGAATTTCGATTTTTTGAAGTTTGTGGCTGGGCGAGCTACCATTTAATTTAAAATACTTTCAATGGTTGAAAAATTACAATATGTTGGGAATTACAATATTTTTCCACCAATGGTCACCGATTTAGAATCGGCTATATAGCTGCATTATTCAATGTTCCCCTTTCGGTTAAGGCTAGAATACCCTTCCCAAATAAAAGTTTTCCGTACAAAAACTTGATTTTGATCGTTCAGTTTGTATAGTAACAATGCGCTACAGTGGCCTGATATCGGTGGCTCCGACAAATGATCAAGTTCTTGAGAAGAAAAGGTCAGAGAGATATCCCAACTATTGAGAGAATATATGGAAGCTGATGTAATTTGCGGACCAATTCCATTCACTGTCGTGGGATCGGAAAGTAATGTATGCTTATCTTAGGTATTGATATTGATACGGTATAAATTCATCCTGTGTTGGGTATTTGAGAGCTAAGGGCTAACACGATTGTGCCCATTTTGACACTATGGCACACTTTTAGTGGGAACCACTCTTTCAAACTTGTTTCAACTTGAATACCCTCGAAGTCCAGATATATAGTCTAGACGATTTTCGAGATATATGCAGATGATATCCGACACTAAACAGATTTGTGCTAACGCGCAATTAATATCTGTCTTGATTCACTCCCTCGGAATGCATTTCTGAGAGTCAAGCCACAAACTACTTTTACTACTATCGACGACAGAGTGAATCTACTATATTCCAATCTGGTGCTCTTTGTTTTTAAATAAGTGTAAATGAAAATAATTAATCATGTTTTTTTACCTTTATTTAAAAGCTTGTACTACAAATGTGAATGAATCTAAAAATACAAATCGCAATATGATCTGACATAATACAAGTCAAGTTTACTAAAAACTTACTTGCAATTTAATTTAAAAATATAAATCGAATTTAATAGAAATACATATGAACACTCTAAAAAAATACATAATGAAAAGCAGACAGCAGACTTACATATTAAATACAAACAGCTATAAAATGTCTCGTATATAAGCACTTTGTTAAAATATAACTACTCATCACTTCCAATACATTTCGAAATACTTAGGCTAATTTCGTTAAAATTAAAAAAGTCAACATATTATCAAATGTATAAATTGTCTTAACTGAAATTCGGAACATTCGATTTAAAATATTACTGCTATTTTTTGTCATAAGTGTTCGATTTTTCAGCTTATCGTATGCTTTGGCGGAAAACACTTTGTTTAACTTTGCTTGCTCCCTTACTCGCTTTTTTCGTGGTATGTGGATCTGGTGCAAAACAATTCCACAAACGCAATGTTTCATCTGCACCTGCGCTTATTACTGTACTGCCATCAGGTGACATTGCCATTTGCAAAACTCGCGAAGTATGTCCAGTTAACTCTGCTTGTTTTATCATTGATGGATACTTCCATATCGTGAGCTGATTGTGTGCGAAACCATGCGCCGAAATTAACTCTTTGTAATTTCGAGACCATAGAAGAGCGCATACTTGTGATTTAGTATCGACTGAATTAACTAAAGAACCATTGTTTACATTCCAAAATTTTATACAACGATCCGCGGTACCACCACCACTAACTAAGAGGTTTGGCTGCCAGGGGCACCAAGCTAATGCCCGTACCGCTGCTTGATGTTCGTTGAGAACATGCAAAGGTTCGGTACCACTACCAGCACCACCACTTACTGCTGCCCATACATTAACCAAATTATCATTGCCACCACTAGCAAGATGTTTAAAATCAGTTGACCATTTCAGACCACACACCTCCTGTGTGTGTCCATTGAGATTAGCTACTTTATGTTCGCGCGCTCGTACGTCATGATGTATGATGGAACCATCTCGACTGCCCGATGAGACTAGGTATGAATTCCATGCCAAAGTGCCCACACGAGCCGAGTGCCCATCCATTACACGTAAACGTTTAATTTTCGTACAGTCCCATAATTCCACTACACCAGTATTGTTGCCAATTGCTAATATTTGTCCGTCTTGTATCCACGAAAGGGCACATGCATGATCTCCTTCTTCGTACTCCACCAATTGGTCTATATTGCCCGTTACTGCGTTCCACAAATAAACTGCATTACCCAAAGCAACTGTCACAATATTGTCAGCACTCCAATCCATTAAATTTAAGTAATAATCATTTATTATGTCAGGTGCATCCAGTATGCGATCTGATGTGGTTGGTATAAAACGAGAGCCGCTCTTTGTCGATAAAGGTGTATTTATTGAATAAACCACTTTTAAAGGATTTTGATGAGATTCTGGTGCCGCAGGTGCTTTATTTTGATAGCATAAAATTCGAGTGCTTTTCGTATCACCAATTTGCAATGAGTCCGATATAAGCTTTTGACGCTCAACCTTTGAAGGTGTCTTTTTGTTAGCGTTATTGCTATTGTCATTGTCATCGTTTTCCGATTTGTCCTGTTCTTGTTTAATCTATATTTATATATAGATACATAGTTTTATTCTTTTAATAAAATACATTGTGAACTTACCAAGTAATGTCCAAGTTCGAAGTTGCTAGTTCCACGGTTGGGAATGAAACGATCACCTCCACTTGGCGTCTTTGTACCTTTACTGGGAGTAGGTGTTTTCTTGCACTTTGTGTCTCCACTAACTTTCCGTGGGGTTCTTGAGGGTGGATTTACACCAGAAAAACTAGTATTATATGACATAGACAGTACGGAACGAGACGCATTTATACTTCCGTTAAGGCTGTTAGCCATTGCAGAAGCTTCCAATTTTTTTTGCCAGCGAGGTGCTGGTCCTCGTGTAATTTCGCCATCCAGTGTCAATGCACTGGTCATTTCATTCAAGAAATTAAATTGAGCCATTACAATAAAATATATTCCTACAAATATTTACAAATTTAAAAATGAACTTTTTATTTAACAATTATTTTTCTTTATTGAAATTTTACGAAGTATTACAAATGGCGGTTGCAGGTAAATTTGATTTTGCGCCTAGAATTGAAATATGAAGTGCAAACAATGCTGCCAAAACTTAGAAAAAAATGGTTGCCAACAGCAGAAAATGTAAAATATATAACATAGCAGATACAACAATGAACTTATATGAAAGCATTTCATATCATCAAACATAAGCAATATTTAAAAAGCAACTCCAAATATTCCTTTGAAGTAATATATTTTAACTAAAATGTAATACATTTTTCATGATATCATAGATATTCAGAAAAGGAATTTCATATCTAACAAAAGCAGTGCGAAAAGAAATTTCAAGGAACGACACAAATATTATACTTTTGAATAACGTGCAACTAAATTTTATTTGTTAATTTAATTTAAAACGTTCATTATGAAACCATGATCTTTTTTTATGACTTGTATTGTTTCTTTGTTATAATTTTTTTTATTTATATGCTATTTTTTATGTTATGTGATTTTTTAAAAATTTTATGATGTAAATACAAGTATATAGGGATGTATATGCGTTATATAGGCCTACTCGGGGACGGAGCACCTAAAAATAATATCGAAATGCAAAATACCCCCAAGTTTTTTTTATAATACCCAATCCATTTTCGTTCGACAGTGGCATGATTGGCAAATGTAATAAAAAATGTGGGTTTTGACAGCTCTCTCTCGAGTCTCGCATCATTTCATCCTTGGCTGTAATATCAAGAAAGTTCTGAGTATAATTTTCATACAATGCTCAGCTCTGTTCACGCGGCACTGTTAAAATTTCTCCTTCCGAGCCGACTGTGGTGAAATACCCTCATCGCATTTTGTTAGGTTTTGACAATTCACACGCCTGTTCGTAGTTGGACCTTCTCTATATCTTACATTCTCTGTCAACAGTTCAAATTAGACATATTTGAATATAGAAAAACGATTATTTGCACAATATTCGCTCACGCTACTAAAAATGCACAAAATTATATTAGATATCTTAATTAAAAAATTTGTGTTTCTATAACAATTTAATTGTAAAATTACACGTTTAAATACTAATATTATATATCGGTCTAATCAGCATTCAGTCAACGAATAAATTTATGTTAATACAAATTTTTTGTCATATAAACATAAGTGATGGGTAAGATAGATATATAGATTAACCATAGTATATTAAGTGCACCTGTGTTCAATTATGATCTTTCCTATTATCACTCGTATGTTCTTCTATAACGGGGGGTAGACCAACTGCGATAAAGTCTTCTATCTTAACCTTTAAGGCATTTAACACATAATAGTGTCAATCTTGTCAAACAGACTTGTGTTACAATCTGTTCAACCAAAATGTGGAAAAGGTTTCTCTTTTAAATCAACAATATATACATATATATTACCCGAAACTATAATGCATTAGAAAGGTTTCAGAAACATATTGCAAAAGTCTTAACCCTATGAGTACGAAACGTAAGAACAATCACATCTACACAAAAACATCGTGTAGTTTTGTCAACTCGGAGTTAGGAAAACAACTTTGTAGAAACGTAAGAAAGTTGTTTGTAATCATATTTCATCAAGAGTTTCATACATACAATTTTGCATTGTATACAACATTTTACTCAGACCTCAAGAGAATTCATTTGGTATAGCATAGTGGGTATTATTCCTGTTCCATTACTATATTGTTTCTTGTACTAAAATTAGAGACTTAAATTTTGTTTATTAATCTGACATGGCATCCGTATATATCAGCTGTTGGTCGCACAGTGTTCATTTTGCATTGTTATTTAACTTTTAATACAGACTTCAAGTTCCTTGCCGGTTTACTTAGCTATGAGGCTATTTGCAAAAGTTGAAGCCAAAGAAGATAAGGAACCTTTGGTTGATGTTTCTAAAGAATCAGTGTCTAATGCTGAGCAAATCAATGACAATGGCGACCCAAATAACCCCAAAACAAAAGAATGGGGTTATGATTTGTATCCAGAAAGAAGGGGTGAAACATTTAAGCCAAAGTGGTCGAAAATTCTTTTGGGTATGGAAGGTCGTGAAAATATTGACAAGGTAAAGTGTGAACGCAACGTATACTGGTGTGTAAAAAACAGCCCTTTGGTCAAACTAATGATGGGAGCGCTCCGAAGTTCCGGCTGTCCGATCGATCTTCGTCGCCATATATCTTGTGAAGTATGTGATACCACTGTAACTGGTGGTTATGATCCTGTAATGAATCAAATAGTTGTGTGCCAAAATATGGCTCGCAATGAAGGCATGGTTCAAGGTGTACTTACACATGAAATGATACATATGTTCGATTATTGCAATAATGAGTTGGACTTTCGAAATATCGACCATTTAGCATGCACTGAAATTAGGGCCGCTAATTTGGCGCATTGTTCCTTCCTCAGCGCTATGATGCAAGGTGATGCCTCCATATTTGACATAAAAAAGTCTCACCAGGTTTGTTGAGTACATAATAACTATACATAAAACAGTAGCTTTATATACCACATTAATTTAGAATTGTGTAAAAACAAAAGCGCTGCAATCTGTTTTAGCGGTGCGAAATGTAACAAAACTTGAAGCTATTGAGGCGGTTGAACGTGTGTTTCCAAAATGCTACGCAGACTTGGAACCAATCGGTCGGCGTATACGACGGAATTCACCCGATCAACATAGAGCCTACATGGAAGGTCCAATGTATGGCTATGATATTTAGCAGGTATATTTTTTCACATATACAAAATAAAAAATTTTAGCAAATATAAAACGCGTATATAAGCCATGACCTTATTAGTCCATATGTGTGATATATTCGTTTTTAAGTTTTAAGCGAGATTATAAATCCAGCATAAGCTTGGCATTAATTTTAGTTTAAACAAGAAAATGGAAAATTGGGAGTTTTGGGCGTATAGTGTTTAGTTTTCTAACTGATATGATTTTTTCATATAGTGAGTAATGATATGAAGTTAAGATTTATATATATATATAATATATTTTTTAAAAACGATTGGTCCATTATAGTATGTCATTTGAAGAATATTTTGTTAAATCCTCTTGGAGATATATTAAAAAAAACGGCAATGACTGCAATTACTTTGGGCCGTCTTGAAAAAAGTTGAATTGTGGTGCCCCTAGATAATCGCTTTGTCCAAGTAACGCTGAAAGGTTTTTAGAAATTTAAAATTTTCACTTTTTGGGAATATTTTTAAAGAAAAAACGCAATTTTTTGCGAAAAAATCGGTTAAATAAAAAATTTGAAAAGCGTTGCTTGGTAAACTACGTACAGAAATAGTGTTAAAAAATTTCAAAGCGATCAGTGAAGTAGTTTTGAAGTTATGAGGGACATCGACTTTGAAAACGTAAGTTGTGAAAAAACCGCTTTAAGGTTTCGAAACTTGACTTTAAAGTTTGAAAACGTGCATAATGTAGGTATAGCCATAACTTCGTCAATTTTGTTAAAATTCAACTTGAAATTTAGAAACAACATTCTTGAGATGTTCTGCAATCACGAAACAAAAAATTAAAAACCCGACTCCTCCCTTAAAAATTAAATTGTATTTGTGGTAACCTATTACCTCGGTTCTAGTCTACGCTGCATACAATAAATTACTTCCTTTTAAAAGTTGCAAAATCATTAAAAATAATAGACTAACTATATCAGTAGGGTATTTGTTTCACCAAACCTGGTGCAATGATTTAGTTTAGATTGGTAATCTGCAATGAATAGGTAATACGAAAAACATTAGCAGCAATGTTTTTTGATATTTTGCAAGTTATATTTGACTTTATAACAGGCTTGTTTTCTTTCGGTAAGCTGCACCTTTTGCATTTTAAAAGATAATAGAATTTTTGATTTTCTTGGTTTTTTTAGGCGGTGGTAACGATGATGACGATTCTGAGGAATCTTAAACTTGTTTTTTCATATTTCAAAAACGTGGTGCATACACATTTTTATGTATAAGTATTTAGTTTCAAATCTATTGTAATCGTAAATAATCATGAATGTATGTATACATGCTGTGTGACGACTCATCCGAATAATTACGGTTATTAAAATAAAATAATTACATGGCTCATTGAATGTATCTCACTGAAACACACACTTATTCTGCAACACATGATCACTTAGTAATACTTAGTTATCCAGTGCTTATAGTTGGCCAACGCACAAAAATCTAAATCTATTTTCATTAGAAATGTTTTTTGATCTATTAGGAGGCCTCTTTGACTTCATAGTGGGTTTATTTTTTCCAAGTATTGAAGGAACTTTAAACTTTTTTATGACGCAAACTTTATATTTAAAATTTTTTCTTTTTAATACTAAGGCTCCGGCGATGAACCTGACTCAGAGGAAGTAGAGACGGTCGACATAACGACGGAAGCTGATGCTGAAACTTTAACTTGAACTAGCATGTACATACATATATATATATATATATATATAATATAAGAAAATTGCGGTTTTAATTTTTTATCACATTACAAACGTTCTTGTTAAACATTATTGTATTAATTAATAATTAAATATTTCAATGTACTTGTTTAAAACTCTTGAAATAAAAGGATGTGACTGATAACTTCAGTACTCATAGAAATTATATCTTGCCCACAAAGTTATTTGTGGTTTTTCAATAAAGTTGACTTTTCAGTGTACACAATCATCAAGTTTACACCAAGCATATTTAAAAGAAGAAAAACATTAATTCCGGTTGTATCGAAAAAGGTTTTCCAAACAAGAACTTGATTTTGATCATATTTTGTATGGCAGCTACTATATGTTATAGCGGTTCAATCTGATAAATTTATAAGGATATTGTAGCATTGCGTAGAATAGTAATTCGTGCCGAATTTCTTGAAGATACCTTCTTAAATAAAAAAGTTTTCCATACAAGAACGTGATTTCGATCGTTCTGTTTGTATGGCAGCTGTATGATATAGTGGTTCGACTTGACGAAAATGTCTTCGAATATTGTAGCCTTGTTTTTTACAATAATCCATGCCAAATTTCGTGAAGATATCTTAAATTATTTTTTATATAATTTAATTTTCATCGTTCAGTTTGCATGAAATATAATATATACGCTATAGTGATTCGATTTGAAAAATTTGTTCGGAAATTTTACCGTTGTCTTGGACAATGATTCATGTTCCTGTACTGGCTGGTGTCACTTTCTGTCGTGTTCTGGTCTGCGCACCACACGAGAGTGGAGTGCGTCGTACGTTGCCCCATGCTGTAGGAGTCTGCCCCCGCAATCACATACAGGGACGTCGCCAATCAGCACCACAGTGCGACAACCGCCCATGCGGATAGTACAGCTGCAACAACCACCACCTACACGCACCCCACTCACCCCTAGGATCACGACTGGACACCCGCGACAAACGCGACTCTTACAATTCAACTGCAACGGACTCCAGAGTAAGATCGAGGAGATAGTTGCATTCATGAGCCGGGAGCGCGTAACGATAGCTGCGGTCCAAGAAACCAAGTTAAACAGCCGCTCAGATCTTTTGAGTTGTGCAGGTTTCAACGTTTTACGTAAGGATCGCGAGCGAGATAATGGTGGAGGCCTAGCCTTCATATTGCACAACACCATGCAATATCGTCTAATCGATGTTGACATCGATCGTAGGGACACTACCCTAGAATGTCAGGGTATAGCTGTCCGGTCAGGAAATGTCGAGCTCGAAATATTTAATATATACATCCCCCAGTTACATGTTGCCCAACAGGATATCACCCGAACATAGATGCGCTACTTCGTGGTGAAAACCGTTTGGTGCTAGGCGACTTTAACGCGTATCACGATCTTTGGCATTCCTGCCTGTCAAACGATCGTAGGGGGATGGAGCTGGCGGAACAGATAGACGATACGACATTCTGCACAATGAATGACGAAGCCCCCGCTGGTCTGATAAATAGTATAACCTGGCGACCTATGCTAACTCTCGCATCAGACCATCTGCCCATAATTATCTCGATCGAGAAACCTCCTGACTTTATTTCTGTGGACAACCGCACATATGTTAATTTTAACAAAGCTAACTGGGTCGGCTTCACAGAATTTACCGAGAGCACCTTCAACGCACTACCCATTCCTACGGACGTCATCGTTGGCGAGCGTCAATTCCGCAAGGTGATCGCTGCTGCTACTGCTCGCTTAGTACCGGCTGGAAGAATCGCGGAACTCCGCCCTAATTTCCCAGCCGAAGCAGCTGTACTAGCAATCGAGCGCGACACCTTACGCCATGCCGATCCCTGTGATCCTCGAATAAGGGATCTCAATTTGGAGATTCGGCAAATGGTAAACCATCATAAGCGGACAAAATGGATAGAGCACCTTTAGTCCTGCAAACTCTCCACCGGTGTGAGTAACCTTTGGACTACTGTCAAGGCCCTGTCAAATCTGAGAAGACATGACGATCGGCTTGAAATTCAATTCGATGGCCATGCCTCCTGGGACCCGAAGAAGTGCGCGAGCTATTTCAGCCGGCAATTTACACTGCACCCTTCGACTGACAAGGCCAAACGACGTGTTACCCGACGGCTGCGCACCACTTACTTTCACCGATGGGGAGGTTCAGAGTGTCATCAAAAAGGCGAAATCGTCTAAATCCATTGACCCTGACGGAATAAGCATGCTGATACTAAAACACCTAGGCCCAACGGGAGTAAACTATCTCACCAAGGTCCTCAACCTGTCGATATCCACTCTTCAAATACCCGATGTGTGTAAAGTCGGAAGAGTGGTCCCATTACTGAAACCTGGGAAACCCGCCAACAAAGGGGAGTCTTATCGCCCGATAACTCTCCTTTCCCCAGTAGTGAAGACACTTGAGGTCTTGTTACTCCCGTCATTCACTCACCACCTGACCCTAGCATGGCTTCCGAAAAGTTCACAGTACCACCACAGCACTTAGCGTCATAAACGCCCAGATAGTTCATGGCCTGAACCAGAAGCCACCCTGCGAGAGGACGATCCTCGTAGCGTTGGACTTGTCAAAAGCTTTTGACACAGTCAATCACACAACGCTACTTGAGGACCTAGAACAATTAACGCTCCCTCCAGGGCTGAAGCGGTGGACTATGAACTACCTGAGCGGTCGGCATTCATCCGTACTGTTTCGAGGTCAAAACTCCAAACTTAGGAAAATTAAACAGGGGGTTCCGCAGGGCGGTGTCCTCTCCCCACTACTGTTTAATTTTTATATTTCGAAACTCCCCCAGCCACCAGCGGGAATTTCAGTGACCTCGTACGCTGATGACTGTACGATATTGACGTCGGGAAATGGAATCGATGAAATGTGTTCAAAAGTAAACAGCTACCTCTCCGATCTTTCTCGCTTCTTCTCTGCAAGAAACCTAACACTCTCTCCCACTAAATCCACAGCGACTATCTTCACAAATTGGACGAAGGAGTACAGACTGGACCTGAACATTTCAGTCGATGGCACAAAAATTTCGTCAGTCAATAACCCTAAAATTTTAGGCGTCCTTTGGACAGTCTGTGCTCTTTCACTCCTCACACGACCGCGATAACTGCCAAAGTACAGAGCCGCAACAAAATCCTCAAGTCGCTTGCCGGCAGCTCTTGGGGAAAAGACAAAGAAACGGTGTTGGCAACATACAAGGCAATTGGCCGGCTGGTCCTCAATTACGCAGCCCCAATATGGTCGCCTGGATGCAGTGACACGCAGAAGAAGAAGCTTCAGACCTGTCAGAACACTGCACTCCGGACTATCACGGGATGCCTCTTGATGTCTCCAATCGAACACCTACATAGTGAGGCCCGTAAGGAACACTTCCGGTTAAGGAACACAACGAACTCCTCTCCATTTCCATATTTCAAGCGACAATTTTATTCCATAAAAACGTATTTACATTTACATATGTTTATATAAGTATGTATGTAATAATTCAGTACTACAAAAATTCAATTTGTAAATATATATGTATATATAGACATTTAAAATTAATTATACACGTAAGGTAAGGTAATACGTATGAAAACTTAATATTTTTGTTTTCTTCATTCAATACATTAGGGTACATATTTCTCATCGATTATAAAAACAACTCAAATGTTTTTTTAAGCATATTAGGATAACGTGGCTACACTGGGTTTGCTTAAAATAGTTTATATTTCTTCTTCAATTCCTGTTTCTTCCATACGGGTAGCTCATCGAATTCCCAGAAAGACATGTTGAAAAGCGAGACGAAGTCATCATGTGTTAAATGAACCTAAAGTAAAGACAAATAATATATTTGTGAGAGAAATGTATTTAACAAGCTTTTTATTTATATTAACAATATAATATTATTGAAGGATAATAAACGACTGTTTTGACTAAATATTAATAATAAACCGATAATTGTTACAAAGCTGTAATGTTCATAGCTATTTCGTGTTTATTTTCCTATACTTTATTCAGCAAATATAAAACTAGGTAAAGTAAAGGAGCCTAACATTCTTCCACACTAAATCCTCAGCCCCCATATTCTCGAACTGGACGAAGGAGTACCGGCTAAATCTTAATATCACAGTCAATATATATAAGTATCACTTCGTATACGATGGCGATTAGTGCCAAAGTACAGAGCCGCAAAAAAATCCTCAGGGCGGTAGCCGGCAGCACCTGGGCGTGTCGGAACATTGCACCTTGTACGATAACAGGATGCCTCTTAATGTCTCCCGTCGAACACCGAAATACATGGTGAGTCCCGCATGCTTCCGGTGAAGGAATACAATGCACTCCTCTCTAAGCAGTTTCTTAAAGGACACCCTCTCCCAATGGTTCGACCCCGTCGAAACAGCACGCTTTCTGGGCCTACCGTGACTTCGATGACAACAAACTTAAACCTTACCACCCAAGCGCGAATTAGATAACTACTACAACAGCAACAAGACTATTTAACGGCACAAAATCAAAATGTGTCTGTCAAGAGAAGCAGTCTCGCTCAATTTTGTTAAAATGTCTCAATTATTAACCAATGTACTCGTATATTGGGCAAATTGAGATACAGTGATAGAAGTTATCGATCTATTGACCCCATTTTTAAAAGCGAAATAGGCGAGGTGGTTGTTCTCTTTCTACAATTTTTGGGCTACACGAAGAGGGCATCAGGAGAATCTTTGCATTTCTGGTTTTATATTTTGCACAGACCGTAAGCTCTTTATGGGAGGTTAACTTGATTATTATTGTGATTCATGATCCCCATTTTGAGTATACAGATTCACCAAAATATGTACATTTTTTTCAGTGTTATCGGCTGCACAAACTGACGGACAACCAGACATCGCGAAACTATTTCCTCTCATTCGTATAGTTCTCTCGATTAGTTTTAGGTGTAACAAACAACCGTTATTTCATGCTATAAATATTTACCTCTCGCTTAAGTGGATTCACCTCTGGTGGCAATAAATCGGTTTCCTGCTGTAGCGTGACTATTGGATATTTATGATGAAGGTCAAAGTCTTTCAAATGATTTTTCAACACAGATGGTATGATTCCATTGCCGTTTATACCATTCGTAATTGTATCATTGGTATTTGTCGTATTTCCTTGCTTTATAAAAGCCTGCCGTTTGAGTTCATAGCTCACATAGTTCTACAAAGAGTGCAATATTAAACCACCGTTAAAACTTCTAAACCAAATAATAAATAAAAACTTTACTTACATTCCAAAGGTTATGATCCCAATTCTCGAATAGACCTTTAAAAGTATTAGGTTCATCATCTTGTCGAATTACAGCCACCGCTGTCGTGGGCCGACGTGCTATGGGCACCGATTCCAGGTAGAGCTGAGCTATCTTCATATACTTATCCTTTTCATATGTAGACGCCTGTCTGCCTAACCAAAGGTACGAAAGCAGACCTGTGTCAAGTACATATATCGACTCGGGTGAGAGATCACTTTGTTCGTAGCCAATGACTTCCTTCATGAAGAATTTACCACGTTGCAACCAGGCCAAAAAGAGTTGTGGCTGTAGACGCAACTTTGTAGTATTATTATTATTGCTGTACATAAAAGAACCATTCAGTGGCGATGTGCTACTACCGTTACTGCTACCCGAACTAATGCTACCATTGATCAGCGGCTGTGACATGTATGTGGTAAGTGAACGCCAAAATTCCTTCGGCTCCTTGCCCTCCACCACCAACGAACATTCGCCCAGAAGACTACCGATATTCTTTGCCATTTCACGTGCATCACCCGTCGAGCTCTGACCGCACCATACCCAAACGTGACTTGTCTTCACCACATAACACTCTTTACCGCTCATCGTGTTCAAAGGGTATACTTCGGTAGCTTTTGCATTGTAACTTGTATCGCCGTGAACACGCAACACAAAATAGTCCCTATTCATTAACGTCAACTCGTTGCTAATATAGTTAATGTTGTTGTTGTGATGCGACAACAAGGTTCTTTCACTTTGTAGTATAATTAGCTTTCCATCGAAAATCTGTAAAAAATGCGGAGTCTCATCATACTCACACATTTGTACAAACATAGCTTTCTTATGGAATTTCTCGAAAGTGCTCAAAGCAAAACGTTCACAGTTAGCGATGTCATCAGCATTGGCTTCAGAGCCATTCCATTGATAGATAATAGTGCTGACGCCCACATTTTGTGCATCAGCGAGACTTGCTGTCGGTAGCTGTACGAAAATGAAAATACCTTAATTCGAATTCGAGTTGTGCTATTGCAGTTAAAACACTCACCATTACTGTATATTCAACGACATAACAATGATTTGTTATAAATATAACTGTCTTAGATTGTGGTTTCTCCATAATTTGATCTTTGGTTACATGATAGATCTTCCTCTCACCGGTACCATCATCAATCAGTTGTGTGTCTGCTGCCATCTTTGGACGTTGGCTAAGCGTAAGCGCATCGAAACGCTTGAATATGGTCGAGACCGGTTTGATGGCCATTATTGACTCAGTAGCGTCATGCTGCCAGTTTGGAAATAGACGTATGAATTCTACTGGTTCATGACCTTGCACCACACGTATAACGGGCGTTGCATAAGGGTACTTTTTCTGTATAAGTAAATAAATAAATAATTTACACTACTGATGCGCATCTACTTAAGTTAAAATTACTTATGAATTGTCTTTTTTTACACACCTTTTTAACAAAAGCTCGACCATTCCCCATGGCGCTTATTTTATCCTGATGTGGTGCCATATTTCCAACCCACAGCCAGATACCTTGCAAACAACCATCCAAAACATAAGCAGTGCTCGTGTCACTTAGGTCTTCTTTGGTTGGTATGACCACATCAAGCTGATCCAAATGTAAACGCGTACCTCTATAACCACATTTATATATTTTGATTTTGTTGTTCTGCTGTCTGTCTGGTGTTGCTGAAACTTGACTGACAACACGCTGACTTAGCGGTAGAAAAGAATTCCACTGATTTTTCAGCTTTTCCGGCAACGACTGCTCATAACCATCGTCCACAATAATTACATTGGATGCATTCACGCCAAGTTTTGTAACCCAGTCAAGCGCACTGCGGCGTTCGGCTGTACTACTCGAACGGCCGATCCAAACGAAAGCATATGTTTCGGTTTTCAACAGCATAATGTAGTCGGAACCAAAGTAATCCCATGAGATACTGTCCATTTCTATGCAACGCAACCATTTGCGACCATGCAGCTGATAGAGACGATTGCTGCTTTTAGAACCAATCAAGTTGCTTGAAAGGATGCTATAGTAATGCAGATTGATAAGAAACTGCTTTTTCATAATACCAAAGAAAATGTACGTACGTAAAACCCTTTTTGAAATAGGACAAAAAACGCGCGCTCTCATTGCCTTGTGTCTCACGATATTCGCTGGCAACATTGTTGAAGTAGGAATCGAGCTCTTGTATTTTATGCGCGACATTAGAACGCTTCTGTTCGGAAACCTTCTCGCCCAGCCAGAAGTGTATGAAGCGTTCTAAGTAAGTTCCGGACTTTGTTTCACGTGTCTACACAATTAATAGTAAAGCATATTAACATTATACGATTTACTTAAGCTGGCTCTATGCGTCACTTACTATAGTTTCCTGATTAACGTAGGATCCTTTTGGCGCAGCCGCGTAAATAATATACGCGCAGTCGTCGATAAAATTTCCATACTGTGCTTTTGGCTCGGCTTCCAGACGATCCTCTTCAATTTTCCAAATATGGAAGCAAATTGCATTTTTTACAATTTTTCGAAAGGATGCATCCACCTTCAAATCGGATATGGAATTCGAGCAGACTTCCTGAAAAATGAGGTAAATTCAAATTGCTCATTATTGAAATAAGGAAACATAAAGGAATTACACTTTTTTGTTTTATAAAAAGAGGTATAAGTAGAAAATGTCGTCAAAATAGGACCATTCGCCCCCTTTATATAATCAATGCCCAGATATTTTCACATTATACTTCAACAAAATTTGGCTCAATATAATAATATAAATAGACAAATTTAAAATAGATATATATGAATGAATAGATAACATTGTGTTTACTTTTTAATGAGTAAAAATATATAGCATTTTCATTCAAATAAACCCCGTTCAAATAACAGGAAACCAATTTGTTCAATAAGATGAACGTTTTTGAAATTAATTGAACACAATTTATAAGCATTTGTTCCTTCTCTGAACTCTTTGTCTTTGTTGTTACTGAAAATGCACTATTCCCTTTATTCTATGGATTTTTTAAAAATTGTTGTTAATTGAAATGGGAACGATTATTTTTTGAGCTTAATCCAGTAAGAAATACATTCTATATGTGAAATTATACTATCAAACATTAATAAGTGATAATACCTAGGTCGAGAGGGGTTCCGCTAGTTAAATATATCAATCAATCTCAAGTGAAGGTGAACGTTCATTCAGTTTCTTATCCTGGAAAAAAAAAATTATTGCGTCCTACCACAAATCAAAAATGTTTGAAGAGCTTTGGCGTTTTAGTCGCAAAGTTCGCATTAAAAACGTTCTTAATGTGAATTAACGCTCTGTAAATGAAACTCCCCCGGTGTGGTTTTTGACCGCCCTAAATATACCACTTATGTTTGAAGCTCCTAATTTTTCGAAGTTAAACAGTGCATATATGAATGGCTTTATAGGAACAAATCTTCTATTAATCTTAAAAATGCCCTCACTTTTTATTCTGATTTATTTATGAAATTTTGTAAATTTGAGATTATTTAAGTTTAGTTAGAAGAATTTTATGCTTATGCGTAGAATATGATGATGAAGTGATTTTCTAAAATTTCATATCATGTTAGTAAAGATAAAGCAGCTGAAGGGATCAAATATTCGAGGAACCGAGTTTAACTTTGTTATTTTTATTTAAATGGTGTGCGCTTAGATATACAATAGTATTTATATTGTATAATGTAGTGTCTTAAAACATTTTTTTTTTATTTCGTTCCTTCCTACTGAAGTTGACCTCTAATTGCGGAACGTTACACCTCGAAATTATTGCCAAAAATAGAATGGAAAAAAGTTATAATTGCAAGAGCAAAGTATATTAAAAACTATTTCAATTTCTTCAAAGTTTTAGCTGGGATTGTTCTCTTCAGTGCTGCAGCTTAAACTTTAAGACTAGTTGGATGTATTACTCCAAATTAAATAAAACGAACTATGATGAATAATTAAATGTCTTAATCGAATCGAAAGACTTTCAGTGAAGGAAATTGCTTTGCTTATGTCGAAATCTTATTAAAAAAGAAATAAAAAAGAAATAGAATAATTATAATAGGTTCTTTCTTTTCAGAAGTTTTGGTACTCATTCAAACCTTAAGAAGGTAAAAAAAGGACCGAGAAATAATTCATATGGCATAAATTTTCCGTTTGCGGGATTTTAAAAAGGAAACCATAATTACTTGACGGTATTCTCCTGTACCAAATGTTAGAGGTTAACTAAATACAATTTTTTTTTCAACCAGATCACGAAACAAAGATATGAAAATCTGAACTAGGATAACATGTTCAGTAAGACATAATACTGAATGTCCGAGACATTTGATGAACCGAATTCGGTATGCAAGTATTTGTTATGTTCCACATACCGTATACGTGGTTCAGAATCGACTTAACTCTTTTGGTGGATATATTTAGACTAATGTTTCTTTTCTCCAAAGTCAAATGACGCTTCTAGATTGATTTCTTAGAAGGAATCCAATTTTATACGAAGTGTAGCATTTTCTTTTTTACGGGAAATTTTTATTGGACATCGTTAATTAAGAAAAGTTACAAAATAGATGGGCCATTATAAAATTGATCCAAGACATATTTTTTTGTAACGACTACTTGTAACTTAAAGTTACACACTCGAATGCTGATTTTAAGGAATGTTGCTGAACCAATACGTTTCCAAAAAGCGGTCCACTGTCTACACCAACAATAGCACTTAATGCCATTCTACACATAGCACCCGTAGATGTTGCCAGCAGGTGCATTGCTGCAAAGGTCGCTCTAGGGTCCAAAGAAGCTGGATATATGAAGGGATTCAAACAGGGCCACGCTAAAATTCTCTCCACCCTGAATACTTGGACCACTGCGTCACTGAAGCTACTTCGGGTGGCTTTTTCTCCGTTCAAATGTATATCGACAAGAGATATGTGGACGGGAAGAGATTTGCTGGAGAAGAGACTCTTCACGTATATGTCGATGCTAGGAGAGAAAGTTGAAAAGGGAGTCTTATGTAAGGAGCTTTCCGTCAAGCTTAGCTTTAGGCTACCGGATTACAGTAGTATCTTTCTAGCAGAAAAGCTGCAATTAAAGTAGCGATAGGCTTACTGCTCCAAAGTGTAGCTTCTTTTAGGATGGTGAGCTTTTACTCCGACAGCCGGCGGCAATGCTAGCGTTGAGCCCGCAAACATGGCGCTCACAGTTAATCAAGGAGTATCTTACCTCGCTTTAGTATCAAGCAACTTTACGATTACACTCGTTTCGGAGGAAATGGCATAGCCGATGAGCTAGCTAGAGAGCGCACCCATTACCCGCTCACATCACAATGGGAACAAATTGGATCCCCGTTGCCATCTTGTGTTTTAGCACTGAACCTATGAAACTCGTGTCCGCTTAGCACGCGTTGGTTGACGACCAGCTTCTGCGCGACTGAGAGATCTTTCTGGTCTAGATTAGAACGTAGTAGATTTATTGAACTACTTGCCCTTAGCAAAGTTTATCTTGCCGGAAATGTAAGACAATGTGAAGTCCTCAAACTGTCACAGTTGTATTGAAGAACGTGAGGTGGAAACATCCAGATGCATTCACCTCCTTTGTTCAGTGTTTGCAAGACTAAGGTTGGAAAATCTCGGCATTTATACAATACCTTCGGCGAACCAGGAGACATAGCCGAAACTAACATTAGCCGTCTCAAAAATTTGTGATCGGCTCAAAGTGCTTCGTCGATTTATGATGGTCTTTATGATTTTTATAGGATTTTATAGGAGGTACCACAACGGATCGGCTATAAACTGTCTAAGTGAGATCCCTGTTAGGATCAACCTTTTAACCTAACCTAACCTGCTAAGTTGAGAGTTCTTTGCCGGAAAAACCTGTGTCCGTTTTGTTTACGTATGGATGTATTCAACTGTCGGGTGAACAGTGTTCCATTTTGCTTGTACTTGTCTTACCAGATATTTTTTGTATGAACTCATTTATACCAATATTTCACTATATTCACTTTGGTCAGTATAAAAAATAGAAACCGGTGTATGTTCCAAAGTTGGAGGACTGTACATTAACGACTGCGACCATTGTTAAATTCACATGCCATAAATATGCCGCAAACATGTGTCAATAACTTAATAAAGAGGACATAATTGCATTGAAAAGTAGGAATGCTGAGCTCAGTGGTTAAAAACTGGATTCGTTTGTAAATAAACCGTTAGATTTTGGTTTACACTGACGCACTGACAGATATCGATCAACGGGAACAGACAAGCGACAGGTGAGAGCAAATAGGAGAGCTTCTCACTATTTGCAGTAAAAGTGTGAGGAGCATGGAATCCAACCAGTTTGATTTGCCCCGTTTTAATTAAAAACAATCTATAACTAATAAAAACTAGATGGTGAGTGAATTTCGCTAAACTAACGGCCTACTACTCTCAATTTAATGTATGTATGACGGGTTAATGCAGCAGCAATAATTACCATGTCTTTCGATGATATTTCCATTACTTGCATTGTGTGATTGCTTTTTCTTGCTTTGCGAATATGATTGTGTTATTATTTGGGCGGTGCTTTTACGTCGCTGCTGCTCGTTTATCACGACAGCCTTGACTTAATTCGTTTAGCTGATTGCTGCCACAACGGCAAGGTGGCACAATTCAGTTCAAGCGTAGTGATTGTAAAACTTTTTGCTCTTGTGTTTTCGTAGTGCCTTAGTGGAGAAATGCTCACGCGTATTTAAGTTTAAACTTGTGTCCGAAGTTGTTTCGCGCGACTAAGAGTGGCCGGCAAAAGTTGCGAGTGTGTGTGCGCAACGATTTACTTGGCTTGAATTTACACGGCACAGTTTGGATTTAAATCGGTTTTATTCCGTTTGCCGTGCACTACGTGTGAAAGTGAAAATCCTTTCAAATAATGACGGAGCACAGCTGAGCATTAATATTGTTTACGGTAACACGCGAATATGCGAAATTTAAAATTTGACTATTATCTGTATAATTCAGTTTTTTGTAAGCATATATTTTTTGCTGTAAGGTGTTGTCACTGAAAATTTTGAAATTGTTGAAAGCTTCAAAATTGATAACACAACAACTTTAATGATTTTTGGGACACAAAAACGAACAGTAGCTCCATTAAAATTAAAAAAAAAATTATTTTGAAAGTATTAACTTTTGTTAATTGAATATCTAGTTAAGTGAACGAGTAAAAATTATACACACTTTCGTTTTTCTTAAAGAACCACTGTCTTTGCTGTGTTTTGAGTTTGGTACACCTTTTTCACTTCTTACAATTATTAAGGCAAATTTTCTCTATCGAAGAAAGCAACCGTTGCAACCGTCAAGCGCGTTTCAGCTTCAAATGCAGACTGTCGTCTGCGAAGAGTTAGCAAGGTGTATATTACTAACCACTAAAGCCTACACTAGCAACAAGTCTGCAATCGGCTGCCGCCGCTTCTGCCAACTAGCTGCCTGAAAACACAATAACACGACGCGAAACTGATGGGGTCTCTCAAGCCGCTGAATGAAATAATCAGTTGACGGTGCGGTGCGAACTAAACGCAGTTGTACAACATACATAGCTGGGAGAAAAGC